ATGGGAGTTGGTTCGGTGGCCTTGTTCTATTCAGCTGCTTTCTTCTTCACGAACGCTATCATTTGCGCTAGAGCAGCTGTGGGGAGACCTCAAGCCAGTATGGATCCCAACAGAGTGAAGGTTCAAAAAGCACTCGATAAAGCGGTGGTTACACATTTCCTGAGGAAAGGCTATAAAGAATTAAAAACCGTTTCGCCAAAGATTATAACAGAAACGGATAGACCCGGAAGAGGAAAACTCGTCAAATTTGAACCAACCGATCAAATGACTTTGAAACAAGCCATTAACTTTATGCGCCTTTACCCTGTTGTATACGAGCAAGAACCATACCCCACAGAATTCGAAATGCCAATTGGAGAACAAATTGAAAAATTTAAACTCACCAATAAACCGGACGGGACGTTTTCACTAGAAGCTGTACGTGAAGGAGGGATTGTTGAAGTAGATACGTCTTATCTCCAGAAGGCAGTTGAAATTCTTTCTGATCCCAAATTGAAGCTTCCCTTAAAGGAAACGATAAGAGATGCCATTTTGAATGCATTAGATGAGCGATTAAGCAGTCAGCCAGATTTTAAGACAGAGTTACAAACTCGTGATCCAAAAGGGACAGTAACCTCGAAGGAGAGGGAGAAGGCTTTTCGAGCAGGCAGAGAACTTTTGGTTGCAATTGCCATGAAAAGGTCCACTTTAGAAGGAAATCTACCAGAATGGCTGCAGAAGATAAAGGAGGATATTACTTCGAAAATGCAGGAGGTTAGAGAAAAGCAAAACAATGAGATTGCCAATGAAGAAGAAACGAAACTGAAATTTGAATTCACCCAGAGCATGCTCAAAACTAGTAAGGAGGCTGTTGAGGAATGGGAAAATTTGAAGACTCAAAAAATTATAATCGAAGAAAATGAAATGGGAACGGGTAAAAAGGAATATTTAAAGGTGACAATCCACGAAACCGATAAGGTATCCCTTAGAGAAATATTTAAACTACTACAATTTTATCCTGAATTGTACAAAAGCCAAGAAGGAAAACAAACAAGATTCGAAGTCCAAATTGGCGGAGAAACAAGGAAATTCCGTTTGAGTAAAGCATTGTTTGGAAAAAACCAAGTATTGGTTTATACTGCCAATGATGATTGGCCTGGTACTACGAAAAGAGGCACAAGAGGTAATCTATGGGCCCCTGATTATGATACTATGGTAGACGAAGTTCTTGCTAAATTTCCTGACCATGAGAAGCTAGCCAAAGCTATGCTCAATGCCTTCGATAGCAAACTGAACAGTCAACCTGATTTCTCAGCAGATCTGGAAATTCCGGGGAAAACCGCAGAGTCCGCTGACACTGTTCGAGCTACCGTAGAATTTATGATCATTTCCATGGTTGCAGAAGCGGCTCAACCTACCGATGAGTTCAAAGACACCTTCTTTACAGAGCTAGAAAAAACGATAGAGAAACAAAAGGGATTCCCAAAAAGTAAAGATATGCCCAAACTTGCAGACTTAGAAGGAAAAGCTGGGCGAAGTCCAGCAATGGACAGTGTTGTCGAAGGCATGCTCAAAAACGTTGGACCTGGTAGTAAAATAGAGGAAGTGTTTAGCGAAGAAAATTTTCCCGTAAGAAAGAAAGGTGGAACGCAGGAAGGGCGAAAACTGATACATGCAAAAGGAAGTGAACTAGTTCCTTCATATCTTATTCGCCAACGTTCCGCTGAAGAACACGATTTAAGTCTTCTCGACAACATAGTCGAAGAAGAGTGCACACGGCGTCGAAGAAAACGCAATGCTTGTTCACTAAAGAATAGAAATTCTGCTACTATTGATGAGAAGTCTATCAAAATTACTGAGGACCGGGTTGAATTTGACGTAGTAGATCGTCGTGACGCAAAACAACGACAGCACGTTCAGTTGCAAATAAGCTCTGAAGAGTTGGCCACTCCCAAACTTATTAAAGACAACCTATCAAATTCTCGACGAGCTGGTATGAGTGAGACCTACGCCAAGATAAATAGAGGTTTAGCAGTTCATGGTCTGATATTCTCCGTTCTTGCCGCTGGAAGATATTTTGAGGAAGGTGAAAACTTTAGAGGTGCCATGACTGTCGCCCAGTCCGCTCACACACTTGGAGGTATAAGTGGTCTCAATGAGATAGCCTCTAAAGTTGGTCAGCGAGTGCTCAGTAGTGCAGCTAAAGGGTTGGCGAAAGGCCTAAACTTAGAGAAAGGATTGGAGAGGTTATCCACTAAGGTGGAAAGGTTCGCAGAGAGAGGAGTTGCACAGTTGCTTGGTGCCGTTCCCGGGGTAGGACTTGCATTTGATATCTACTTTATTGAACAAGACATAGAAGAGTTGGCCAACTTAGATCTTAATAACCCGGAGGACCTCAAACTGTTGCCTCTTCGTGTAATAGATTTGGCACTGGACGTGAGCACGACGGTACTGAACCTGGTAGGAACATTTTGTCCGTTAGCAGAAGTTGTTACTGAGCCTCTTGTGATTGTTCTGTCAATAATACGAATGGGTATTGATGATTTCTATATTGATATTATGGCGGAGATAGAGAAGATTAATTGGAAAAGCCCATGGGCCGGATTGGAGTTTCTTGGAGCTCTAGTAAAAGGTTTCCAGGATGGAGCCGCAGATTTCTTAACAGGTGGCTTGAGAAGGCAGATGGAATCCTATAGGAAGCAGGAACAAAATGACAAAAAGCTCATTCAGGACTTGAAAAACCCTGATAACTATTACAAGATTGTTGGGGAAAAAGAAGGGGGTGGGGATACAATTGATTTCACACAAGGGAAACTTTCCAGTTTTGGCGGCTATATCAACTTCAGGCTTCATGATAATAATCGTGCTACTATAGAAATAGGGGATGTCAGCGGCAGTCATGAAACAATACGCAAGACATTTACAGTTGATCCAAATCTTAAAGATATCGTTCTTGGAATAGGGGAGTCGCCGACTTTCGAATACAAGCACGAAACTGCCAAGCTTTGGTTTGTTATTCCAGTTAAGACATACAATGTCATTTGTGGCGAACGTCTCCACGGGAAATCCGTTTACGGAACTTACTATGGAAATTCCAAGGACAACACATTTTACGCCGTGCAAAAACCAAAGCCAACAACAAAACCACCTTCGAAAAAGGAAGGAGAAGAAGAATGTAACTATGGAAGTCTAAATTTGAAGTTTGTTACAGGGAATTACCATTACAATCTGTATGGGAGGGGTGGTAAAGACACCTTTTACCTCGGACCGGAAATGTCCTCAGTCACCGGAGGATCAGGAAGTGACCTGTTCATCATCCAGTCAGATGGCGGAAGAACAGTCATCGATAATTTTGCTGAAGATAACATGCGCGACATCATTGTCATCAACGTCAACTTTGATAATATCCGATGTAATCAGAGTGGGGTTGATCTTGACGTCACTTATTCCAAGAGTCATCACATTCGTATCAAGAACTGGTTTATTCCAGGTGATCCGACGTATTACCGTCACGTCTCATTTCGAAGCCAGGACGGAGTAATTTTCGTCCCCAAACAAACACTAAATAGTGGCCCGATTCACACTGTTCAGTGCGTGGCGGTAGCTTTGGATCTAGGCGCAGCAAAAACAGCTCAAACAGTATCACTTCATGATGTTAAATACCGTCAAGTGAAACAAGTATCAGGATCAGAATACTCTGATATTATTGTCGGTAATGACGTCAATAATATCCTGGATGGAAGCCTTGGAGCTGACCACTTGTCTGGAGGAAAGGATGAGGATACCTATATCATACGGGGAAATGAAGGCCCCGATGTTATTGACAATAACGCAGATGATTATTTAAACACTACTGACATTGCAGTATTTGATGTGCCCTTCGAAATGATAGAAGTTAAAACAAAGGGTACCAACCTCTCTGTATCAGATAGGAACAATGCAGAAACTTCGTGCTTTTCAATAACAAAGTGGACCTTAGGAGAACGGTACAGACATATACTATTTACCTCTAAAGATCATGTTGTCTTCAAAGTGTCTACCAGCGCAGATGGAACTGTATCCAAAGAGCCAATGATGTTGGATTACAAAACGTCCGAAGTCGGAATTTGTGTTGATTTGTCGGATACAACGACGAGTCCCAAGTGCATCAAACCAACTGGTTACATCAACGTTGCCACAGTATCCGATTCCCCATATAATGACCACATAGTGGGAAACGCACAGACTAATTTTTTAAGCTGCACTGGAGGAGAAGATTATCTTGAGGGTGGTGAAGGTACTGACAATTATGTCGTCAAGAAAACATGCCAAAAAGCAACAATCAACAATTTTGACAGTCGCCAAAAAGCAGATTTAGTGTATCTAGAGGAAACGTTCGTGAACTTAGCCGTGCAAAAGGATAGCAAAGATTTGAAGGTTACCTCAAAGCATGTGACACCTACTTTGGTACTTCGTGATTGGTTTAACTCGGCTGACTACCAACATCTTGGAATACGAACAATTGATGGAATAACACTGAGAATAAACAACAGTACAACGGTGAAACTTGAGCCATATGAAGTGTCCAAGGATCCCACTGAATGCCAATGCACGCAGGAAAGCTGCGCGAAGGGGGTGATAACATATAGTCTTGACGTTGATCCTTGGCAAAGCATGGTCCGTTTTGAATTGAAATCAAGTCACTGTAGTTACAAAATCTACGGTAACCAACTTAACAATTACATTGATCCCGGTTCAGGGAATGGTTATAATTATCAGCACCTGGAAGGAAGGAATGGATCTGATACCTACGTATTAAATCACGGATATGGGGAGTTTAATGAAGTCAACAACTATGCAGATGACGACAAAGTAGATACGCTTCAGCTGGGAATGGAATTTGAAGATATCAATGTTTATTTCCATGGCCCCAATGACGCCATTCTTGCATCAAAGTCGCGACCTAGCTCCCTCAGTGTTCGAATTCTGGATTACTTCCGTGGTGTGAAGTATCAGCATCTTCAGATAATATCTGCAGACAAAGTAATCTTTAATATTAGCAAACAATACCCGTACAAAAAGGTCATCGCTGTCGACCGTAGAATCGTCGATTCACCGCAAAACATCGATCCTCAAAGGAATGCTATAATCGCCGAAGCCGAAGATTTGTTGGGATCGCTTACCTCACCCAACAAACTGACAGGTAGTAATACAACAAGGCAAATTGAAGGTGGTGCTGAGGCTGACGTTCTTAGTGGGGGAGAAACAGGAACAATTTTTGAAGCAAGACAGGGTAACGACACCATTTATGGTGGGGCTGGTAATGATATCATTTTTGGTGGAGATGGCGATGACGTCATCTATGGTGACACTGGGGATGACTACATTTATGCTGGAGACGGATCAGACATTATTGATGGTGGTGAGGGTATTGATACACTTGCGTTTAAAGGTGATGGTTTTCTTCGCAAGGGAGTCACTGTTGATCTCTATATTGGCTTTGGAAAAGGAGTTGATGCCGAAGGAGATATCTATAAGAGCGTCGAAAACGTATATGGAACCATTCACAATGATCTTTTGACTGGATCTGATTTCGATAACAAGCTCTATGGATTAGAAGGAGACGATACACTGACTCCTCATGGCGGAGTTGATGAACTTGTTGGCGGAGAAGGAAAAGATTTGTACTTACTCTATAAGGCTTCTGGGTTAAAAATAATCGATAACTACGCTGATGATGAAGTTGAAGACACGCTTTCCTTGGTTCATTTGAATTCCACAGACGTGTGTATTTTCTTAATTGGAGACGATTTACATCTACAAATTGATAAATCTAACCTGGGATCAGTGATTTTTGACGACGATCCTTTAGCAGTGATTATCAGAAACTGGTATGTGAATGCAAAATACAGACACCTTACAGTGCTATTCAGTAACACTCTGTGGGAAGATTTTGCTCTATCCGCTATCGCTGAAGAACTGGAGATGCTCGGAAATGGTACCCGCTTCATCGAAGAAAAAACTGACTTGCATGTTGTTTCTGCTAACGCCACCGACGTAAGCTTGTCATGGAAGCCAACAGACAAAGTTTTGGAATATTCAGAAACTAAGCTTTTTGTCGTACATTTCAAACAGCTGGCACCAGAAACTTTGAAGGAAACTCAGGTTGATCACCAAACATCATTTAGTGTTTCATCCCTTGACCCAGCCTCCCACTACGTCTTCGCTTTGGCATTAACTAAGTGCGACGCGACAGTTGCAGTTTCTCAGACGCTTATAACCTACGGACGCGAAAGGTCGTGTCCTCGGTAAAAGTTACACACTCTGTTGTTAAATACACTCCTTCTACCTCTGCATCAGCCCCTCCTCATGGCACAGTTGCTAGTGTAAAATGTGATGTCGGATATAACAATTATAACACCAACTCTGAAACGAATACAACATGCTTAGATCAAGAATGGATCCCCTCCCTACCGGTTTGTGAGAAAATTAAACAATGCCCTATCCCTACAAAGCCGAATAATGGATCAGTTTCAACAAATGGACACGAAGAAGGATCAAAAGCTTTTTTCGTTTGTCACAAAGGATTCTTGCTGAAGGGAACAAAGGAGCGAACGTGCGTAAATGGTGCTTGGGATGGAGAATTTCCTAATTGTCAACTGCTAAGTTGCCCAAAACCGCCAGCTCTTGAGTATGGATCGTATATTCCCTGTGATTATATCAAGCATTCGATGACGTATGGAACTATGGATAGTCCCCTCGAAGGCTATTGTGTTAAGCTTGAATGTGTCAACTTATACCTGCCAAGTCATGTATTTCATGGTAAAACGTACCGTCCTCGATGGGAAAGTGACTGGGAGATACCACAAGGCGGACGAGTGTGCAGCGATGGAAAGTGGATTGGTTATGTGGAAGACATCTGCGAACCCACTGCTAGGCTTACCAGTGTGGTGTCTCAGTGGAATAAAAAAAGTGGATTGCTTCAGCTATGGCATAGTGACTCTTGGAAAAATGCTTCGTCTACCCCATCACAAGACATTTTACATCTTTCCTGCAAAAGTGCAGGTATAGACAATCCTCAGCAAGTAACGCACAGCTCAACTAGCTCCCAAGTTCGAGTAGACTGCTCCAGGCTACGTTTGACGCAGCCGAAGCCAACCATCTATGAAGGGAAAGTTGAACAATTAACTGACGATGGTACTTGGGAGGGAATATGTGTCACAGAAATTGGAACAACGACAAGTCAGTTTGCAAGCACGGAGATATGCGAGTCACTTGGATTTAACTACAAGTCTGCCGTTGTTGGCATCAGCACTGGATGGACAGACCACACACTAGTTTGTTCATCGTAAGTAAATAGTAACTGATTAGTAAACTTTTGCAAGAGCAAGACATAGTAAGACTTTCTTTTTTGAAACGACTAAGGTATTGATAGAAATTTATTGATACTAACGGGTAGTAAGTAGGACATTTAGCTATTTCGTCTTCGGATATAGCCGTGAACGCCATGTTCTTTTTCAGTTCACTAAGGAATCAACACCTAGGCTGCTAAGCCTGCCAAGGTTGATCGATTATCATAATTTATACAATCGATTTCATGGGGTTAATTTTGAATTGCTCGCATCTTCCCATTATGTTTAGCGCCAGTTGGTTATAAAGAATTAGGTGGGGAATCAGGAACGGTTAAATATTTTGAATGAATAATAAAATGCATTACTATCTACATGTTGTAGTGAAAAGAGCATTTGTGAATTAGTAGAAAGCAGACAACAGTGTAACACCATGGTAAGATGCAGGCAGGAGTGTACTAACTGTTTCCCAGTTCCTCATGGTCATACAGAATGTACAGGTAGTTATGAAGATGACACATGCACAGTTCATTGTGACGACGATTACAAACTTCAAGGTGACTCTAAAATTTTTTGCAAAGGAGGTGTGTGGCAAAATCAAGATGCAAAGCCGGCTTCTGCCCAATGTAAAGATATAGGTGTGTGTCAATTAATTTCTCTCATGAGCATAGTAAATTCATAGATCGGTCTCACATAACGGTGGTTACAGTGGTGTACCAAACCAAGGAAACGGCGGCCATGTTGGTGTAACCGAAAACTCAATACTGCGGGGATTGAACCGTTCATATCACGTAAACGTTTTGTTTGTTGCAAGAAATTTGCATTAACAGCTGGACACGCGTGTGAAAACGATCTATATCACATTCAGGATATCTTTTAAGCCTCTCCCGTCTCAAATAAGCCCCCTCTCTCTAATAAGCCCCCCCCTCTATTCTACACTACCCTCTCCCCTCCCCTCCCCCTTATTATTCTTCTGCAATCACTAATAACTGATAGAATGTATTAATCAATCTGAGAATCACGACTGTAAAACTTCGTGTGGATTGATCCAGGATGATTTATTCACCAACTGGAAGTTCGAAATGGTGTTATTTTTGGTATCTCGTCTATATGACCTTCAACTTCTTGTAGTTGAGCTTTTCCACTTTATATTCTACTTCGTAAGGAAGAACTGCTACCATCTTCAAAAGTGTTTGAAATAATGAAGCCCCCGGAGGTGTTAAAAGAGGATTTACGGTGACAATCCGGTTACAAAATTGTTTACAGTCATGTATTACAAATAATATAGTTTTTAAAGATGGCGAGTCTAAAAAGGAATTGATGTACCGCTGCATGAATCCTGTTTAAGTGATGGTTCACTTATTGGCAGATTTCATCAGTTTGGTTTTGTTGATAGTCGACAGGCCCGAAGGTAATTTAATAAAACCTCATTAACAAGTGTCATTTAGAAGTGTACATATTTTTAAAGGGTCTGAAAAAATAGGTACACTTGTAAATTACACTTTTAAAAGTTTTATTAAATTAAACCCTGATGATTGAGTATAACAGAATGGTGTACACCGTCTTTCGCCCGAAACACAATACTTGCGCGTCCTGAACAATGTATTAATCATTTGCATAAAAAAAAAACGCGTGGCCACGAAAGACATAGTTATGTTTGATTTCCATGGTGGCAAGAAATGCGTACTGAAGAAATTATAAACGGAATCATCTAATTCAAAGCGTGAGACATGAGTAAAAAGGTAGATATATACAATTTCTTTATTTACGATGGAAGAAGTTCTCTTGTGTATGTTGGAAGCGGAGCCCCATAGCTACGAAAATTTGTTTGTCTATCCATCCGAGAAATTTTGGTAGTCGCGTGATACGACGTCCGCATCGTCGTCCGCACTACAGAACAGCCAATATGAAATGTCACACTATTTAGCTAGTGGGGGAGCCTGCAACCTGATATTGCACTTCCATGCTGTGGTCACTTCACAGGTGTCAAAACGGATATCACATGACTGTAGCGCGGGCTTAAGTGTCAAACCATCGAGGTTGCATTTTTTTTTAAGTTCTCCACTGACAAGTTACTATGATCGCAGGCTCAACTCCAAGTACATTTCTTTGCAATGGTTACAACATTATTGTTTGAAGTTAATGTTAACTTTATTAACGAGAGCTTCACCTTTAATCTCAGTCAAATCTATATTATTGTTTACATAAGTGTTTTTTTTTTCAGAGACTCTCTTCGAAGTTGAACTCGAGCAACTTGTCAAGGATAACAGCAAGAAAAGCCATAAAGAGTTGGCCGTTTTTCTGAGGGATAAATTGGTAGATAGTTATCCCACCCAATATTGGGTGGTTACCGTGTATGATGATATCACGGGTTATGATAAACACGCTTATGTTGGTTTTCGTATCGGCTATAAGTTTAGATATTATGGGGTTAATTATGTTGTTACACGATATCCTAAAAAACCTGCTCGTACTCTTGGTGTGCCAATATCAGAGGTGGTAGGCTCAATAAGTCAAAACGATGCTAAAGAAGTCCGTGATAGTATTGAGAGTAATTTTGATACACGTGGCTTAACTTTCGCCTCAATACACGTCGTTAAAAGAAAAACAGGGACAAAAGGCTGGTGGCATGGCAAACATTCGGTTGGACCAGAGCTTACTACGGCACATTCTATTCCTGTGAACAACTATTTCTGGAAAGAGTTTGCGGATGTTATTGTCATAGTCGTTGCTCCTCGTTAGGTCAGAAACTTCGTTTACTGGTCCATTGCCATAACCGCAAATTAGCTAGATTCTTTTCTCATTTCTGTAGTCCTGATTCAGAGAGGGTGCAAGCTTGTTTTGTTTTGTTTTTTTGTCCTCGGTGGCATTTATGCGGGTTTCGGTGACCTTGTTTGTCCCTCACTGGTATGTATCCCCGTGAGACGTGTGTGCCTCGGTGGCGACGCTCCCCTGGTCATCGGTTCCTGGAAAAGGGGGGGGGGCATTTATGTTTGTGTCAGGTACGCTTTCTAGTTCGCCCATCGATGTGGTCTCGAGCGCCTCGATGACCACACTCTTGTTCTTTGATAGTTGCACTTTTTTTTTCTCTTCAAAAACAGTGGTTACCACGAGTCTTCTTGTAAAAAACGAGGAGAAGTCTAAGAACGTCTTTCTCTTGACGAAAATTATAGTTAGAAGAGGACTAGCACTGTTCAATGACCACAAAATAAACCTGCCAATTGAAACCGCGGCTTCAAGCAATTCTGAGCTGATTTCAGTAGACACTCTGTAGGGTCAAAGTTTTTACACAGAGAAACTGAAGCTACAAGTTTGGCAAGTGGAGGAGTTCGTTGGTTAAAATTATTTTCCAACAATAGAGGACGTGGTCGATCACGTGACCAAGCAATTTGGATTTTCTTTTTTTTTTTGCTTTTTTAAAATTTAATTTGCTTTACCATCTATCATTCCTCGAGGATGTATTTAACAATGGTTTTTGGAGAATGTGCATGAAAGATAAGTGACTTAGACCGTGGCGCTGGCCTATAGCTACTTGAGCACCAAGTGGATCACAACCACCTTTGGCCTTAGAACATTTTCAGAATGACATACAGTTGGACGCAAAGTCCTCCTCTGCTGCGTTTCTTTCCTTGACGCTTTTACTTAGCCTGATGTTAGGACCTGTTCTCAGTCTGTTTTCACGCGGGGCCGCTGTATGTGCGATTCACTTTTTTCTCGTGGTATAAGAGATGAAAACGCATTAGCCTTGCCAAAATATTGAAATTGTTCTCTGGTACTTAACAGAGTTTGAAGCCTGTGAAGGTAAGTGGATAGGAATTTCTTTTATCACGGTCACAGCAGACAGATAATTTACATGTAACTATTTCAATTGTTCCTTTGACGAAAGGTCAATAGCTTGTTTGTTTGCGTGTCAGATTGAGTGTACTATTCTAGAAGAGGCTGATCTTCTTGTGGATTCTGTTA